TGGTATTTGGGAAAGGGTCCTTCTCAAACCCGTCCTCATCGATGTGAGAGTCTGTGCTGGGGTCCTCCTGGATTGTGTCCATTCTTTGGTGGTCCTGTTTTGGTGCGGTGGTGACGGGAGGCACGGCCGTGAGGGGCTGCAGTGGCTGATGCCGGCTCATCGACTGTGCCGCTGGGAAGAGCTTGATGATCCAAGTGCAATGAGAGTCAGGAATAATTTAAATTAATTCTGTGTTATTAAAGAAACAATGTATGTCCCAGTAATGCACAAAGACCCACACTTTCAAATAACAGAAGTCAGCAGAGCTTCACTGAGCCTGCTGAAGGCTTCAGTCTGGCTCATGCAATGCAATAGGAGAAGAGGGTATTTCCAATGAAGTTAGTGGACGTTAATAAGTGGAAAGTGGAAAAGCAAGCAGTGAATCCAGTTTATTCTTAAAGAATAAAGGGCCCTCTGTTGTCTAATTTGGAGCTGGATGAAAAAAGACAAGTCCAAGAAGTTGTGAGCAAAATGCTTTAGTGTGGAACCTGTGAGAGCCCTGCACGCTCCTGCAGGACACCTTGGAGCATGGCTGTGGCTGCAGCTGCACATGCCAGCTGCACCCATCTGTCACGTTGTCTGCCAAAAAGGGAGGCCCAGTATCATCTTCTTCCCTCACCCTGACCACGGGGTTCTTACCTTCACCTGGTGCTGTCTTCACTGTTTACTCACCAGACTTTTCACTGAGCTGATTCAGCTCAGTCACTAAAAACATATCTTACTTGTTTTATTGATATTCCTCTGGTTATCTGAGGATAGTGGAGTTCTTTCAACAGAGGGTCGGAAGAGTGCTCAGCATCAGGCAGAGAGGAGAGAGTTGCAAGCCAGTGCTGGGGGCTGAAAAGAACCTCGTGTCAAATAAGCAGATGTCAAGAAATCCTGTCCTCACTAGCCATAAATAACTTGTAAGTAAGAATCCCCACTGCTACAGGAAATTGGCTAAGGATCTGAGAGACACTTAAAGTGAAATTAGAGGAAAACTTGAGGCTTTCCATTGACGTAGCTATGACATGCTCATACACTGGAAAGACAATCTGGGCTGTATCTGCTTATTTCTTGGAGTCTGCAACTCCCTCTGGTGACAAAAACCTCTCAGTAGAGATCGTGCATGTGCAAGTGCTGCGAAGCTTCACTGTGCTCAGGCTCTTAGAGCTAATCCTGTGGCTATCTGCAAGACTATTCCAGAAGGGGAAGGCATTCAGTTGCTCCTGAAGGGTTCTCAAAGCTTCAGAATGATTAACATCTCCTTATCCCTTACGTTTAACACCTAGGACAGACAGACATCATCTGTATTCATTCTTTGTCTGTGGAGGTGGGGAGGGTCCCTACACCAACTCTGCTGAGACTACGAGCATGAAACATGGAACTCTGCAGAACCGTGTCATGTATAACCAGAGCGTTAAACCGTGTAACAAATTCCATACAAAGTCTTTGTGGTGGGACGTTGCCTGTGCCCAGAAATGCTAAGAAATCCAAGGCAAGCTGCGCAAAGCAGCCATGCCCACACCAACCCAGGTTAACTGTCCCACCACACTCACAGTAGCCGTGTCCCCACGGCGCTTCATGGACTTTTTGACTGGTGGTGAACTTTCTCCGATTCCAAGTGTCTGATGTCGCAGGACAACTGTGCTGTAGCCCAACAAAAAATGCATTTCTATAATTTGAAAGGGAGTGTGGAGGAAGGAATATGGAGCTGTGGTGTGTGCTAATCCCACAAGGGTAGTGGTAAAGTACAGAGTACAGGGAGCTAAACTTGGGACAGTCCCACCCACGCTGGCTGCCCCTTGGGAGAGGTCACCACAGTCAAGGGTCTTTGTCCTCCTGTTGCTTCAGAGGAAACAATTTAATTGATTCACTGCAAAAGAGACTTTAGAGAGCATTAATATTCCTGCATTCTTTTTGGTCAGGAGACAGGAGCTGGAGCTGACCTGAGGCCATGACTTAGCAACACACCTGGTCTCAGTAAAACCCTGCGTGGACTTAGGAAGTCTCTCAGCAGAGCTCTGTGTGAAAAGGCTGGATGCTACATGCTCCCAGAGAGACACACACATAAACCCAGCTAAGAGTCTCCTCTCAGCTTTATCCTTTAGTTATCCTGATGCATGGCTGCCTCTACAGATAAGGGTGGACTCTGTAATCCCCAAGGATTACATCCCAATTCTTCAAGAACCAGGGTCAGCCCTTGATCACAAGACATGAGGAGTCATTAAAAATATGTCAACAATTTAACCTGAAAACTTCTTCCATTCATGAATACCAACCCCATAAATTGTCTACAAGAGATTCAGCAGGGAAATCTAAGTTATTTGAAGGTTGGTAAATTCTTACTAATTAAATTCTTACCAAATGTAATCTCTCAACATTGTGTTATTCAGTGAAGCTTCTGAAGAGGCAGAGACCCTTTCAACTGCCTAAAAATCCTGCTGATTAGTCCTTCAGCATTTTCCTGAGCTTGTTTATAGGAGAAGCAAGGACTAAGATTCCTTCTCAATTACAACCAAAATTTTCTAATGGCTGCAAAAGTAATTTACTGCTTATGGCTTCTGCTTTCCTTCTGTCTTGCGCAGTCTCAAGCTGGAAGAGTCTAGTAAATTACTGTTTCACGTGTTCACTTTAACAGTCTGATATTTTAAATCTGTGACACAGAAGAAGTGAATCAGCTTGAGGGAATACTAACAAGCCTGAGAAATGGTGTTGCTTCAGCTACTGACTCAAAGTGCTTCAAATGCCAGTGTAGTGCATTACCTGACATCCTTGCAACCACAGTTTTAAGGTGACAATCTGCTAATGAGGTTAAAACGTAACCTGACAGTGCCCCAAGCGTAAAGTAGCACAAAGAGAGATTAACCTCTAGGCATAGACTACAAGCCTATGAACTCAGGGATCAGAGGGGCTTTCATCTGTAAGGAAACTCATGTTGCACAAAGCACAGTAGTGCAAAATTCAAAAACCAAGCCCAGAGTAATGGCAGTATGTAGCTGTTTTGGTTTTTTGTTTTGTTTTGTTTTGTTTTCTGGTAGATTACAAAAAAGTGACTTATGCAGTGGGATGGCCTGTCCACATGAAGTCCCAGAGATAAGAGAGGGAGGGGTACTTACCAGAAATCAGAAACGAAGCCAACTCAACCCTTGCCGGAAAAAAAAGTCACCCAACCTCTCACAATCCCTCCTACCTGGTTGCAAATCACAGCGAGACCACAAGGGGGTAGCCGAACCCAAGAGTACACGTTTCTTGACGAAAGGTGATCCTGGAGATCACGGCACCCAACTTTAACGCAAGTTAAAGGGGGACACAACGCTTTTATAATTGTAACATCGTATTATCAAGCACCAGGCTTAGTCCAATTTTAAATGAACAATGTGAGAGCACCGCTAATTAATACTGTGTGCTTCTACCCTTGCTTTGTAACAGCCTACCCATTCTCAGCTACAATATGGAGAGAAAAGCGGGATTTCCCTCCTTTACAGCCAGGCAAATTATTATTATTTCCATTTTCTTACGTAGGGAAACTAAGGCGAAGCACGGTAGGCCACATTATGCCAAGATGAAGCAGGTGACAGATCTTACTTCCCTCTCCTTTAGGCTTTTAGAGGGCCTGAGCAAAAACTGGACTACATGAGAAGTTAGCAATAAAAGTTGAGACGCTCCCTAATCTCTCAAAATCTTCAAAGCAAACTTTCCCACACCTTTTGACCCTTTCATCTGTCAGCTCTCAGTCTAATGGTGCATACAGGGCAGCCTAGCTTCATCTCCAGCAGCCCTCCCTGTGAAAAGCTTGCTCCAAAATGTCTCAGAAGACATCATCGAGCCTTTTAGTGGCTCAAAATCTTGACTCTGAGATTGGAAGAAAACACCTTCAGAAGGTAATCACAGCTTCTCCAAGGGTATATATTGACTTTCTTTCCGGGGTTCTAAGATTAACTGTCTAAGCAATGCTTCTTACAGAAAAACCAACAAACCAAAACTATGAATAAACCAAAAAAAAAGCATCTTTCTCACACAAAGGTGTTTCTTCTGCAGAAAAAAAACGGTCTCTGGAGAGGCTTTACCCCAAGAAGAGCAGTTTGCAAGCCACAGGGAATATAACTAGCTGGCCTGAGAGAGGAGATAAGGATTGCCAGGGTGACGTGCCATGCCCTGGTTTGGAAGGTAAAATTTGCTCTCCTGTGCGACACGGGCCAAAGGAACTCCCTCAGCACTTTCTTCATCAGACCAGAGTTATGGCATATCTTACACAAAGGAATTCACTGCATGAGGATAGGCTGGGCATGAAAAGCCTCCTACTTCTCCCTCCCCTTTCAGAGAGCCCAGTCCACTTGTTAAATATTCCCATGTTGCATTTCCAGTCAGGACTCATCCAGCTCCCTTTCTATTATCACACATTTCCCCAAGTATGGGTTTGTGGCCTGTGATCAGATCAGCTCTTAACTTTCTCCTGGAATTTCATTTCACAAGCCTCTGGGAATCTTTTCTGAACTACTGAGAAGTGACTTTTACAGTTTTCTCAAGGGTTTCACAGATGGGTTTGGAAAGGACAATTATTTGGTTTCTCAGTTGTAAATATGGTTAGCACTGAGGTCAAACATCAAAATTAAACTCTACATTCTCTGGCTCTGCTGCCTCATGATCTCCAGACAAGAACGCAGTACAAGCAGGCATCCTTCCATCAGCTCCAGGCTCAGACCCAGAGCTTCAACTGGATATCTAAGGAGCCTGGCTTTTGGAAATGTATACTGACTTTTCCAGTATTTTTTAAGAACTAGCAAAAATAGAGTTGTTTAGAATTTCTCATTCTGGCTGCTTATAGCCCACAGAACAGCCCATGATACGTTACCTATGGCTACACAAGCAGGAGAAGGTAAATCAGGAGTGGAAAGTACTTTTCAGAAGATAAGAATGAGACTCAGTGAAGCAATCAGTCTTAAAGCAAAGATGGGAAGCTACTTTCTCACTCAGCACATAATTACACCATTGACCTCTTTGCCACAGAATATTTATTATAGGAACCGAGAAAATAAATGAGTTTAAAAGGCATAAGACTAACCTGTGCAGGGAAGAATTCCTAGTGGCTGTTCACGAGTGACCTGGATGCACTGCTTGGCTCAGGTGAGCCCTTAAATCGCTGCTCATGAGAGGCTGGAAGTGGCTGCCCAGGTCACAGTCACCCTCAGGACACTGTTCCCTGAACACTTCCTGCCAGGGCTGCAGGCACCATCCTCAGCGAGGCGAGTTATTGGCCTTGTCACATAGCGCTGTGCTGTCCTTGCTGCTGTTTTGCTGACATCCAGACAGATTTCCCTCCCCGCAGGGCTCCGTATGCTGAACTGCAGGCTCTGCTCCCCTCTGGGCTGCAGGCACAGATAGGGCCGGCTGCCGCTCACACGTGAGATCATGGCTTGGCCAAGAGACGGTGGCTCTGCTCCTGGCCACCCCGACAAGGGTTGGGGACAGCAGGAGGAGGCTGTGGAAGGCGGCCTGTATTCTGTGCTGGTCATTTGGTGTAAAGGGGTGCAGGGGTTGCATATGTGTCCCAGCATTTGTCTGGAAACAAAAAAAAAAGGAAATACGTTCTTGGGATTTGGCTCAAAAGTAAGATACAGAAGATAAGAAAATCAGCTCTAGTTGTGTCCTGCATCATGTGAAGTAAAACTCCGTGCTACCTAAGGAAGAGATAACATTTCTTTCCTAGTAATTGCTGTCTTTCTCCTTTAGACTGTAAGCTGCTCAGCAAGAGATTGTCTCTTACAATACTAAGGATACTTACACAGAACTATACAGGAAGCTGTGTAATAGCATTTTGATCTCATTTGGAGAAATCTCTGCACTACTGTAATAAATGAAATCATTTTACCTCTTGCAAATACTCTTGTGTATGATATTTTCAAAATAAAGCACTGGAGTAATTGCAGAACATGGTTGTTATATCAACATCTAAATGTCACCTGTCAAAGACAAGAATATTGTCATTCTAAGAGCTAAGGTCTATGTTAAGGTCTATTTCAACATATTTACATTCCTACCATTCCAAAAGCATCTGCATACCTTGAACACAGAGTCACTAGGAACAGGAACAATTAATAAATCCCTGTTGCCTCCCCTGGCAGTTCTTCTGTCTATCTACAGGTTTCTCAACAAAGACTGGCTTCTTTATCTGCTTTATAGCTTATAAATAGGACTTAAAGGGTAGGACTAGAAATCAGTGTTGTGTAATTCTCATGCTTCCCTCTGCAAAAGGTAAAGATTTTAGCTTTTCCTAATGATCGTCAGGTTTATCAACTCTTCTCTGGAAAATTATCGCAGAGATAAATGCCTTAAATGTGAAACACAAAATTAGTAGGAAAAAAAATGTGAACTTTAATTTCTGAGGATGTGTAGTTGCATTTACTGCACTGACATAAATGTACCATGATGCTTTATTTTCTCTTTTTTGGAAGGAGATGAAGGTGAAATAGGAGATAGAGGAGAAGTGGGCAAACAAGGAAAGGTTGGACCAAAAGGACCAAAAGGTATTTATGAGAGTTTTTTGGCTATTACTGGTATATGAATATCATTATACACAACTGTACTGGTGCATATAATCCGTGACATTTAATGCTTTTTATTCCTGTTGCACCAGTGGATTTCACAATCCTGTCAAACATTAATCAGCAAACTTAATAGTCACAGAGCTTGGTGAAATTCCTCCCAATGTCAGACAGCTATATATAGCAATAAATTTAAAGAGTCATGTAATAAACCAGTACATTTACTGCTGCTCTCCCAAGTGGCATGGTCCAGATGACCCAGATCACATGTATAATCATTGTCTAGATCACACTTACCATCAGAAAGATTACTATCCTCTTAGTGAAATGATCCTTTAATTGAAATGTAATTTTGAGAGTTACTTCCTACAGTCATAGATGTCTCAGGACTCGGCTCTGTTAAACATATCCCATATCCACAATGTGAGCTGGGCAGAGCATTCAGAGGCACCAGATGTGATGGTGTCAGCCTTGCTTGTATACTCTAATTCAAAAGTTTAATTTTTGTTATTAGTGTTTAATGATAATGAATATCCATGGTCTTTCTTCCTTGACAGTGGTTTAAGACTAATCAGGAAAGTTCTTACTTCTATAGAAACTTTAAAATCACCCTGCTATTATTATTATTATTATAAATAAATGTTTCCGTTTTTAAATGCATTCAGATGACTCTGCTTCTTACCTTCAAAAGAAGATCAGGTAAGATACAAGGGAATCGGGTAACCAACAATTTATGAAGCATCTCAGTGATGTTCAATTCAGTGTGCAAACTGAAATTCCCTAGATTGGGCTGTCATCATTAGTCAGCTATTTCAGAACTTAAATTAATAATGAGTTAAAAAGACATCTGTTATTTTGGTGCTCTGAGGACTGGGAAAGCACATACAGCAAAACTAGCAGCTCCCTACTTGCAGCGCATGATTCCCCTGCAAAGCCACAAGGACTTCAAGGAGGAAGGAAAGGCTTTTGTCTGAGGTAGAGAAAAAAAAAGAAAACCAAACCACAACATAAAACCTACTGCTGGCCTGGTCTGGCGGTGAAGTAAAATCAATATCTGAATACTCACTAGCAGTTTCTGGGCGTTTGCAATGTCCTAAGGTGCCTTGCAATGTCCTACTGTTGTATCCTACAGCAGTAAAATGCTGCTTTGTCCTCAGAACTCCACTCATTTCAACTTCGCCACACGTGTGGACTGGCCACATGCAGGAAAAGAGCAGCAGTAGAGATGTAAATATTGCCTTAGGAAAGAAATAACGGCAATCATCTCTACTCTTCTTCCTCTTTATTTCTTCTCTTAGGAAACAAAGGACCTGTCGGGGATGTTGGTGACCAGGGAATGCTTGGGAAAATTGGTCCAATTGGTGGAAAGGGTAAGCTCCGGTCTGAGAATTTTCTTGTTTTTTCCCTCAAGGTAAATATGTGTTTTGTGAGAGTTCCAGGTATGGAGTAATATCAGATAATGGCTGTGGCCAATGATTTCCAAGAAAAGTTCTGCATTAAGATTAATAACAAGAGCTAACTGAGATAATCTTGGTTTATTTCCCATGCGCAATATATCCAACTTACTTGGCTAAAATAATTTGTTTCATCAGTTAAGAAATCAATCCTCTCTGACAGCAAAAGAGAAAGGGAGAAATCCAGCCCTTGTGCAGTAAATCTTCTGAACGCTCTAAAAGAGAAAGCCAAAATTGTGCCCCTGCTGCTCAGGATGCCACACTCTGTTACCTGCACTGCTGTAGGACATGGGAGCAAGCAGAGCACTGAAGAGCTCGGTGAGGAGAGGATTTTTGCTGTTTTAAGAAAGCACTCCTGCAACCAGGGATGACAACTACTTGTAAATCAAAGCAGAGTCCATGTTTACCTGGACAATAATTTCACGAAATTATGCTCTAGTCATCTGAGAAGAAGCTCAGGGATCCCTTTCTGGTATTCCTAAAGAGCTACTGAAGAAGGAACATTACTTCTGCCACGGGGAGACCTGCCCTGAAAACTGAGCGGGGACTCCACCATCCCCAGGGGAACTCTGTGGTCTCTAAGCAGCACATCAACCCAGGCATGTGGGTGAGTGGGTGGAACAATCTCTCCAGGGAGCTTCTCAAGCCAATGTTTTTAATAAACCTTCGATGGCCTCCAGCCAGCCTTGGTATCAGAGAAGAACAAAGGAATTTGGCCTGAGGGACTAATTTTCAGAAGTACCCAGACAACTGAAAACACAGATAGTTATCTCCTAAGATGTCTTCAGTCACCAAAGGAGACCAGAATTTAAGAATCCCACAAATTGCTTATCTTTATCTGTAAGTAAACCGATGCTCTGAGCCTTTAAATCAAATTCTCTCTCAATCTGAATGTACAACTTATTTTCCCCTTCTAGTTTTTCTCATTTTCTTTCATTATTTGCAGAAGCAAAGGTCACTAAGTCCCTGTTTAAATCTACCATTAAACATTCAAGTTCCTAATGAAGCAACCCTGAAATTTCAGCCTCTAAGTGTACAGTGTCAAGCAATGCTAATTAAAATGACAGCTCACTCCTAATTTCTTTAAAAAACACTACCATACAAAGGAGGAAAAAGCACATCAAAACACAGCCATCAACAAGGCAGAGCAAGTATAAGTATTTTTTGACCTCTGAAGGTTTTTAACTCATGAAAGAAGAGCTGACAGGAATTTCAGATAAAATCCAGCTGTTCCTGATCAAAATTACAGCTGGGATTTTTTAAAAAGCTAGTCACCTCCACTTACAGCATCTGGAGAAATGCTTCTGCCTTTTTTAAGATTTATAGAGGACGACGAAAGTGGTTGGATGAAAATAAATCACATTTCCATGAACTATATGTGAAACGAAACGCTGCTCCTTACTGACCTCATTTCGTGCAGGTGCTAACCCCTGCCTGCACACAAAACCTGTTGCCCACGCAAATTCAGCGGCTCAGTGGACATGAGCCTCACCTGGTGCCTAATCCCACCCTGGAGCTACTGAACCCAGGGCAGGACTCCGTCCTGCGAGGCACTGAGACAACTCGGGTCTCTCAGTAGGCAGATTTCTTGAGTGCGTTCAGCCTGTCAGGATCCTTTTGCAGTTTACATTTAAAGTAAGTGGTACCAGGAACCAGCTGCACACAGGATGCCTGTGTTATCAGCCAGTTAGCTATTACAGGGTTCTCCTTAGTTCCATAAGCTGAATTAATCATGGTTTGTTTGACTTGGCACATCTGCCAGTACAGTACATCAGGGCTTCCTATCAGAAGCACACCATTACTACCTTATTGAACAGGTTTTTCAAATACATTTCCCCAACATGTGAACTGTCTGAGATCTGAGAATGTATTTTCCTTTTTATTCAGGTGACAAAGGAGCCAAAGGCTTATCAGGAGTCTCTGGAAAAAAGGGAAAAGCAGGTATGCTATTCATGCTTCTCTGACAAAGGCTCAAGTCTGCTGGGCCTTCGATTTCAGGGTTGGTTAGTCTGCAGTTTCACGGCATTTGAGGCCCATGGAAAACCTTGAGAATAGATGAAACAAACAGGAGGAGACAAACAGTTTTGTTTAGCAAAGTGAAGGCTTGGGTAGGGGCATGACCTATGAATAAGAAGAGTTACATAAATTAGTGGGCAATGTTTGATATCATAAAAACGAACAACTAGAAAGGCCAGCAGTACATTCATACTGGAAGCTAGAAGAAAGGTTCTGAATAGGAGCATGCAGATGAAGAAATAAGTGATTTTAGATAGAGCACAACCTGTTGTCAAATGAAGGCAATGCGTTTGCTTGCAGAAAGAGAATTTGGATCTGATGACCCAGAAAGTTCTTCTCAGTTCTAATAACCTTGAATGTTCTCCCACCTTGAATGTACACCTGTGCTCATTTTTAAGAGATTTCATACGCAATTCCAGTTTGGTTCTTAATCAATAATGAGAGAGGCAGAAGATGTGCAAATCACACGCTGATATGGGTGGAAAGAAGACTCTTCCATCCGCATTTTTAAAAGTTGGGATTCTTAAGCCAGTCAGCAAGGGACTGTACAGAGCCAAAATACTATGCATTTTGATCAACAGAGGTACAGCCAGCAAGGCAGGGTGATGCTCCCCAAGTGGAGGCCAAGTCTTCAGAAGGTTTGAAAGTGGGCTGCAGACATCCCTCCACGCACACACACAAATGCTTCTAAACAGATAAATCCTCTGTACTTTGTATTCCATCAGGCACAGTCTGTGACTGTGGAAGATACCGCAGAGTCGTGGGACAACTGAATATCAATGTTGCTCGTCTTAACACGTCCATCAAGTTTCTGAAGAATGGTAAGGATCCTTAAGCACTTGATGTGATTTATTTGGCTCCTATAATGTTTATCATTGGTATTCCTCTACCGCTGCTGCTTTAGGCAGCATTCACAGACGACCCAAAGAGAGGGTCCCCACTGTGCAAGGCACTCCAAAAACACACAGAAAAAGGACAGTGTTACACCTGCAAAGATATAAGCAGCAGATGACTAAACGCAAAAATAATCAAGAAATTATCAACAGCACAACAGAAAGAATCACAAAAAGCACAAGGCATGGCTTGCTAACCACTGCCACACCATCAGTTTGCTCAGGCTCAGCAGCCTCTCAGGCAGTGAAAGGAAAAAAGTTTGTGCTGATCTGCTCCAGAGAGGCAGGAAAAGCATTAAGAACCTCTTGATCTTTCTGCTGCTTGGGAAGGCTGCAGACACGGCATTGCTAGTGCTCTCCTCAGTGCAAGCATCATTCTGGCTCCAAGTCAAAGCTCTGCTCACGCCCATTCCAGCAATCCATCAGCAGGGACAGTCAAATTCCAGCTGCCCAGGCATCCTCCACGGCACTGCTTAATTCACTGGGATATGTGCAGGTTAAGAAGTTTGGCTTTTAAAGCCTCTGAGCAGCCACAGTTTTCTTTCTAGTCAATGCAACTTAGTGGCTACAGACCTCTGAATATCAGGCTGTATTTAAAATGTCTTACATTAGCAGTCACATCGATTTTTCTTTACATGGAAAGTGTCTGAAAAGCTACCTATACTTTTGTGTTTCCATCCCAGGGCACCCTTTTGCAACCTGTATTCAAAAACACGCAAAGCAACAGGGGTGATCCAGTTAGATATTGCTGCTTGACCATGTAGCATGCCCTAATTTGATTTATACCAGAGACCTGTGAAGTAAAACATAAGTGTCATAGGAGACACATGACAATCAGGACTGAATAGCTCTTGTCCTAATATGTGCAAGGTGCTTGTCAGTCCCATTAGCAGCACCAGTCTCTGATGATGTCCTCATCGTTCATCACCGATTCAGCAGTGGGAATACTTTTTCTTTCTCCCTTTTATTAACTTTAATGTAAAAATCATCTCATTGTCATACTGGAACAGAAGCACCTTTGCTATCTGTTGACATGCCATTAAGCTATTTTTTTTTCTCCTTTGAAGTTATAGCAGGTATCAGGGAGACAGACGAGAAATTCTATTACATCGTGAAAGAAGAGAAGAATTACAGAGAAGCCTTGATCCACTGCAGGGACAGAGGAGGAACACTGGCCATGCCAAAAGATGAGGCGACCAACACCCTGATTGCTGACTACATCTCTAACAGCGGCCTCTTCCGAGCCTTCATTGGGCTGAACGACATGGAAAGAGAAGGACAGTTTGTGTATGCAGACAACAGCCCGCTGCAAAACTACAGTAACTGGAAGGAAGGGGAGCCTCATGACCCAGCTGGCCATGAGGACTGCGTGGAAATGCTCAGTACGGGAGAGTGGAACGACTCTGAGTGCCAAGTCACCATCTACTTTGTCTGTGAATTCCTCAAGAAGAGGAAATAAACGTGCTGCGGAATGTGCCCGGCACCTGCTGTACATACAACAACCCCTCTTCGCTCATCCACTGTAAGGAGAGCAGCGAACGAGGGACAGGGCTCAACTCAGCCTTCACTTCACTGAGTTAAACAAGAGCAATTCCTGCTAAGGTGGCAGCAACCATAAAGTCCGCACAGGTCTGCAGCCAGTCAGCCGTGAAATTTTAGTTCATTTCTATGTGTATGTCTATGTGTATTTTAGGGGCAAATTCAGGGCACGCAGAGGTGAATATGATTTCATTAATGCCAGAAATAGTAAACTCAGTGGCATAGTAATTACTGATGTGCTTCACAAAGCCTGCAGATGGAAAAATATTCATCTTTGACCCACACAGGAAATCCTAGTAATCTCCCTGGTGACTTCTGACATGAGAGAATAGATTTGCATCTTCTCTTGAAAAAATCGTTCTTTTCTTAGAATCATGGAGTAATTTAAGTTTGAAGGGATCTCTGCCGGTTATCTGGCTGAATCTTCCAGGCAAAGCAGGGCCAACCTCAAACTTATATTAGAAGTTGTTATACTTTCCTTAATTTGGCTTGATATGCAGGGATTTACTCACTCATCTCTGCTTCCAACCCTATTGTCGATAAGGCTGGTCTGAGGTGTGACGAATTAGATCACGGCACTTCTGTATGTGAGCCTGCAGAGTTTATAGGCAACTTAAGAATAGGTGGAGCAGTTCTAGCCTCTGATGTCCCCTAAAATCTGTGAAAAACATAGAAAAGCCTAGCACAAAGAGACCAGTGCAAAAGAAGCAGCATCACTGCTGTAGGCTGTGAACAGGCACATGTAGTATCAGCTATGCCAACGTGCATTGCTGGTTTGACAAGTGATTCTAGGAATGTGTTAACTCCCAAACTCAGCCACCAGTGATGCCTGACGTCTAAGGCTACAATTACCCACACCTTTGCAATACAGAAAGCAGCTACAGAACAGGCTTTATCCCCTAAGAACCCATGCTCAGGTGTGGTTGAGCAACTTAGTCATGCACTTCAGGAGGACTCTCCACAGAGGATGAGCAGTAAGCATGAAGGCTTTGCTGTCAGTGCCTGGCTATTCAGATCCCCACATCAGTATGCCCACAGTGGACAAAGTTTTCTTATCTTTGACAATACTGAAGGAGCTATTTTCTTCAGATACAACAACCACTTTGCCTCCAGAAGTGAGCTTGTTCCTAGTCATGGTTCATATTTCCTCACGGCAGATGATGTAATAAGAAACCCCAGGGCCCCTGCAATGAAGGTCTATAGATTTTCTCTCTCACTTGACACTGAAAATTAAGGAATAATATCTGGAGACTAAGAAGAATGCTAGACACTAGGCTCAGTGCAGCAATGTACCCTGCAGGTGACTCAGAGCACTGGCTACACATAGGACAAAACACCTGACTATCACCACTGAGTACAAACAAGCTTCTAGTATATTTTTTTGTACTAATTAGTTCAAGGATTCATTTATTCACATTCAAGACATTTCTCCCTGTAAGACTTGCATGAATTATTGATCACTCAAGTCCCACTTTTCCTCACTGTCTAGTCTACACATATAGAACAGCAGTTAAGACAACATTGCATTAAAACAAACACATACACAATTATCAATACTACTAAAATAGCAACCTTTTAATCCACATTTACACATCAGTGAACCAGGAAGTTAGCCAATTCCATACTTATAAGAATCCTAAGGAAGTACTTCTTGATACCCCCTCATTATTTGCCACACTATTTGCAGGTTCGTGTTTTGCTCCCACAAGTTCCATTGATGCATCAATTTCATTATCAACTTTATTCCATTTAACAACAGCTATCCTTGGGTAAAATAATGGATGCTCCCTAAGGTATCTGACAAAAATATTAAAACTACAGTTATTCCTAGCCCTAACAAGAAGTAACTTTGACAACAATCGTAATGAAGGTATGCTTCAGGATCAGTCCGGGTACAACTCACGAGTCCCAGCTTAGTCTCAATTTCAGAAGTCCCTTTACCATAGAAGTCCACATAGCAGAAGGTATCCTCTTTATTCTAGGACTATGTACACATGGTCTTCCTCTGGGAGTCTTATGTAGGCTTATGAAGAGCTGGAGACGCTGTCAGGGAGTAACACAGAGGGTCAGTTCCAAACCTCCCCTCTACTGCTGTGTACAGCACTGCAAAGGCACCTAGACCACAGTCACGCTTCCTCAACCACATCCTCAACAGGAAAATCCTCCAAACCATTTAGTTGGTTGTTAGTTTGACTCCAAGCTCATGTCTGAGCAACAGCCAACGCAGGAGCATCGCAGGAGACTCTGTGACTCAGAACGACTTTTGTAATCCAGTTTCTCTGCCACTTGCTCCTCCAGAAAACCACCTGTTGCAACCAGCAGTAACTTATCCATGTTGCTGCAAAACCTCCAGGGAATTACTCAGACCTATGGACGAAGGAGTGGGACCACATTCCATTGCTCTCCTACTATGCCATGAGAGTACTGGGCAAACAGGTTAATTTAGCACAACATAACTCACTCTGAATGGTTTCCTTCCTGGGAACTGATATGCCCCCAAAATTAAGCAGAATACACTTTTTAGGATCTATAGTAATAAACTCATTAAGCTAAACACTTTGAGTTTAGAATCATAAATGGGTAATGATAAAGAATTAATGACGAATTCAAGGCTAAGTTTCTTGAGGAAAAGTAGTCTTCTAGAAGTTCAAGCCCAGGGCTGCTGCCCCACTCATAGCAGGTCAGTTCTTACTAGTCATGCAGAACTGGCATAGTAACGTTCCTGTGGGTAGGCGCAGTGACACTGAAACTTTCTGCACACCTCATCTTTACTCCTGATCCAAAAAGTCACCAAAACATGCTTGCCAGACTGGAAGTCCAAGTTGCAGAACCCTCTGGCCATACTGAGACCACTAGTGACACAATCTAGAGGTGTCCTTAATGCTACAACCATCATGAATAGGCTATTTTCCTGTTCTTCGGGAGGAAACGGAGAACTGGGATAAGGTGAAAGAGGAGCAATACTATGTTGCAGAAACAAGCTCTGCCTGAGATTGGATGAGACACTCTCCTTCACATATGTGTCAAAAGCCTTGCTAAAGTTGAGGTAAGTGACATCAACTGCTCTCCCCTCACCACAAATCCATTCATTTTATCATAGAACACAATCAGGCTCTTCAGATACAATTCACCCATGGTAGATACATGCTGATCATTCCCACTCAGCTTCTCCTCCTTCATATGCTCAGAAATGTGTTCCAAGAGGACTCGTGCCATTAATTTCCATGGGGACCAAAGTAATGCTGATTAGCTTATAGTTCCCTAAATTGTCTTTCTGGCCTTTTTGAAGGCTGCAGTATTCACCTACTTCCAGTCATGAGGAACCTTCCATGATCTCCATAAGCTTTCACAGCCTGCCCAGAGCAGTGGTGGAGTCACCATCCCTGGAAGTGTTCAAAAAATGTGTAGATGTGGCACTTCAGGACATGGTTTAGTGGTCATGGTAGTGTTGGGTTGATGGTTGGACTTGATGATCCTAGAGGTCTTTTCCAACCTTAATGATTCTATGAAAGGTGACAGAGTGGCCTTGCAGAGACATCAGCCAGTTCTCTCAGCACCTTAGATGTGGTTTGCTTGGTCCCATGAAGCTTTGCAGTCAAACTTTCTCAAGTAATCCCTGACTCAATCCTCAGCTACTGCTGCTAGCTCTCTCTGAACCTTCGTCCTACGCACGGAGGAGTGGGATAGCCTGCTCATAAAGGCAAAGGAACCATTGAATACTTCAGCTTTACCTATGTACCCTGTCACTACATCACCCTCTCCACTCAGCAACGATCCCACGTTTTCCTTGCATGGCCTTTTTATACTAAGATACCAGTGGAAGCTCTTCTTGTTATGTGTCCTGTGCAAGTGTCAACTGCATTTAAACTTTGTATTTCCTGAGGCTACTGCTACATACTCAGGCAATGTTTCTAAATTCTTCCACCATAGCCTGTCCCTGCTTCCACCTTCTCTATACTGCCTTTTTGCGTTGGAGCTCCACCAAGCTCCCTGTTTAGCCACACCACTCTACTGATACATCTGCATGTAGATGTACAGTGAACACAGGACAGCCACCTAAGATCTTGCTACTTCATAGCAGGAATACCACGGTGTTCTTCCTGCTCTTGGAAAGCCAAGATTTCATGGTCTCCTATATTCTGAAGATTGTCATCTCACTTGGTGCAACTTCTGCTCTCCCCAGGTCCAGAATGCACATAAGGCACAGATATCCATGGTAAATATAATGATCACAGAACCAATATATCCCATTAAGGACATATTTTCCTCAAACTTTTCAATCTCACACAAGCATTAAGCAAATTCACTTCTTTCAGTGCCTTTAATCTGTTCAATCACTTTAAATATTTTTTTAAAAAAATAAATTAGCTCTTAGAGCAACAGTGCCCCATTCTTGACCACAGCCACAAGAATATACAGACACATGTATTTAGTTTCACGCGCAGTCTTAAATAGTACATTGTATTGATTGAAATGGTTATTAACAGATGCAATTTGACACTGTGTATGATGATAAAAATAGTAAATGGGTCAGAGAGAGGGATTAATTTATGGTTATTTGGAAAGCATTGCTCTAGATTGTCTTGCTTGAATATGTTTGCACACACACAAAAGCCATGAATTGACGTTTCTTTTTTTCCTCTCTCTTATTTATTAATGTCATACATAACCTACTCAACATGTGTAAGAATAAACAAGCAAGATCAAAGCAATAGCTTAATCTGGGCTGGTGTTATGCTTGTGTGGCAAATGAAACAGCAAAAGGCATAAGAATTCTCTGCCAACCTTCTGTGTGCAGTGTGTCCGACTGCAGCCCCTGGGCCTCACTCACTCCTGGCCTGGAAAGACTTCTCCGGGTGGATGTTTCAACACAGGGAGGAAAAATTTCACTTGATTTTCTTTATATGAGTGTGATCAGGA